CACAGCTAAATATAGATTGAGATGAAAGCTTCAAGTCCCTTTGAAGATCCACTTCTTTCTAGTGATATGCGCGTTTGCATAATGAAAAGTAAATAAATAAATGAAATGAGCGCTTTCATTTTTGAAGCTCTCTTCCTGTTTCAGAAGGAATTTTAGGCTTTAAATCTATAATTGATGTACCTTGAGGAAATATTCTCTTTATAAACTATTTGTTCGGTTGCTGATTTACTTGTTTGATTCTACTTAGTATGTGACATGCTTTCCCAGATAGATAGTAGAATTTGCTTCAAGTATTCACCAGTCCGTATTTTATACGCTTGCTATTATTTAAGAAATTCCATGGGTCTTATATGAGCATCTCTAATTGTTTGTTGATCTGAACATGCAAGTTTACCCCTAGCTATAGCATGTACAATTTGTGTTAAGGACTATTATGTGTCATTTTTATGCTGTTATAGGAACACAGATAAGAATCTTTATATGATTAGTGAATCTACGGTTTGTTTCATCTGGAAGCATCTGGTTGGATAATGGTGGTCTGTACCTCAATATGAAGATAGCCATATACTATTTGGCCTAAATTTTGGATAGAGGATCAATGTGGGACGTTTCTTTAGGCTTAAGTAGATAAAAATCTTTCTTAATGATCTGTTTGGTAATGGTAGCATAACATGATTTGGATATGGTATTAATTACAGGTGACATGTAGGTTGCTTGGAGTGATCCTTGAGGAAACTAGCCCAGAGGAACTTCAGGTAATTATTTTTTCAGGCTTTTATTGTGGACCGGTGCTTAAATACAGTTGACATTGTTTATACTTTGTCTTGACAGCAACAAGCAACTGTGCGATCCTCTGTACTCGAAGTATTGCTCGAAATCACCAAATTTTGTGACCTTTATCTCATGGAGAGAGTTCTTGATGATGAAAGTGAAGTCAGTTCTCATTCTTTTATTAATGTTTTCTATTTATTGATTTGTAATTTTTACTGATGCAAACCCTAGTTATATCCTGGTTAGTGGTTACCTGGTTTAAAAAGAATAATGTTGCGTTGCCTTATAGACTTCGTTTGATGCCTTCCTTCCTCCCTTCTTTTCCTCTTCTTTTTTTGAAGAAATGGGAAATATACCTACTTTTGTGGGCATGATTCGTTAGCTTTCTGCACCCAATCAATTAGCTCGCTAAACTTGTCATAAATTGAAAAATCTGAAGAGATGCAATTAGTGTCTTTCAGTAAGGGAAAAAAGGACTACAATTCAACTATTGTCTAGATCAACCTGAAAATCAACTTGTTGTGCCTTTATAGTGGCAAAAACTTCACTTGTTAATCTTTGTTGTTTTTCATAGATTTCTTTCCTAGAGCTCAAGCTTGAGAGCAATTAATTTTTGCCGTACCATGAAGCACCATGCGAAATGGGAACAAGAGCCAATTGACTATGAGATACATTATATTTGGCTTTCTTTTAAGATTTCTCATTTGCAAATTCCTTGTCATGCAACTTTTTCTAAGTTTGCTCAGAGTTCGGAACATGGACCTAATTCTTAAGAACGAGACTTAGAGAATCCTAAAAGGAGAAGAACCAGAATTTCCAATTTGGGGATTCTTTACTTTTTTTCCCAATCAATAGGTACAGTAAGTTGTGGCTTTCAATATTTGGTTTGTGGAACTTTCATTATTCCCCAAGTTGGAATTTCAAGATTTGTGTTCTTCTTTTAGTATTTCCCCAGGCAAAAACATTAGTCTTTTACATTCATCTTGGGTTGTATATCTATTATGCTTGCTAGCTAGCTACCTTGTCATTTCTTAGCAACCACATTTTCATAAACATGTGTGCCTTACTTTAGGTTGTGTAAATGCTGTGTATGATGAAGTTACATGTGTATATTAACACTTACATTGTTCATTTTCTATGCATATTCATCACATGAACTAATATGTGCAGAAAAGGGTCCTCCTAGCTTTAGAGAATGCTGGAGTCTTTACATCTGGAGGCCTGGTCAAAGACAAGGTAGTAGCTAAACAGCTTTTTACCATCTGTAAGAAGTGAGCTGTCAATAATACATTCTTAACTGCTTAATTTCTCTTCTGGGAAATCATCGACTTGTTTCTTTTCCTGGTTTTAGAGAATGCTGGAATGGTTCTTTTCTGTCCAGTTTCATGCATTATATGTTGCTGATAAGACTGCATATGCAGGTTCTGTTTTGCAGCACTGAGATTGGACGCACATCCTTTGTTCGACAATTAGAACCTGATTGGCACATAGATACAAATCCAGAAATCACTTTTCAGCTAGCGGTACTCATCATTTCCTTTGACTAAGAATATGATCAATGAGCTCATCATCATTTAATTGTTCTTTTCATTCAATAAAAGTAATTCATATGCTGAAAATGTGAATACTTCAGATGATAAATGCAACCATTGATCTGTTATGTGTTTCTTCTTCTCTCTTTTTATAATGGTATCATTCTACTGCTGCTCTAATTAGGTTTTACAATGTCATTCTAGTATTCTACTATTGCTCATTAATCTCTAAACCTTCCTTATCCTTCCACGCCTTCTGTTAGAAACTCCATTTGCTATCAATTTGGGTTCTCAATTCATAAGTATAATTGCAGAGGTTATCTATTAGCTATAATTTGTGTTCCATACTGGTTGTGAATAAAATATGTTAGTTCAGGGATAAGTGTAAGATTTTGAGAACCTCTAATTTGTATTAACAGATAATTATTGAGTATTGGAATGAAATAGCTCAACTAGAATGGTATGATAGGGGATTTCTATAGCAGATCCTAGCTAATTTGAGATTAAACAAGTTAAGTCAATACAGAGATAAGTATAAGATTTAGAGAACTTATTATTATTATTATTTTTCTAAATGGGGGAGGGGATTACAATGTGGGGATTGAACCCTCACCAACAAGGTGGGAGTACAAGTAACCAATCAAGCTACTTAGATTCCCCAGATTTAGAGAACTTATAGTTTGTCTTACAAGTTTTTTTTTATTTTATAAAAATGATTCTTCTAGGCAGGGTGCCTAGGGCTAGTTTTTTATTAATAAATAAAAACAGAAACCTCAAAGAGAAGAGTACAAAGCAAGGGGGGCTAGGCCTTACCTTACTAATCCTAATTTGTCTTAGAAGATAATGATTGAGTATTGGGATGAAATGGTCTGGATAGATTAGAGTGTATGTAGGATTCATATAGTTGATGCTAGCTAGTTTGAGATTAAAGCAGTAGTTGTTGTTCATTGTAAATTAAGAGAGCATAATGAAACAGAGGTTGGGACTAGACGAGAGGGATAGTTAAGTGGCTTTCACATTTAAGTATCTTCTTTTTTCACGACTGCATGGCTGACTAACACGTGAATGCAAAATTAGACAGAAATGTTAGATGGGTCACTCAATATTAAATATTAAAGACTCATTTAGTTTCTTCCTAAACTTCTCATACGCATAATGGCTCTTATTGACATAAATAAAATATTTGATGTTGAGTTTGCATGTATTAAACATGCATTCTTCGCGAATATTTTACATTAGTTGGGGGTTCATGGATTTATTTTGTACATATTTCTAAAATAAAACTGGTGTTCCTTGAGCAGAAGCAATTTGTTTATCATTTCTAATACATCAGTAGGGGCAGAGAAGCTGCTAAGGTTGAGAAAATGTGAATGCCTCATATGTGCAAGAAGTTACTTGTTCCTTGCTCTGTTACACAATGTGTTTGCAAATATACATTTGCTTACCGTAAAAAATGATCTGGGCTCATTCTTTTATGGGCAGTTTTTAACAGGATGATATATCTAAATAATGTTTGGTTCTTTACTGGTTGCAGAGATTCATCAAATATCAGTTACACGTTTCGCCTACCAAGCCAGAAGGAACAGCAATCAATGTCTTCAACTCAACAACATTGGAGCAGTTCTTTGGAAATGTTTAGATGAAACCAACAAGAGCTAGCATATTTCGTTTACTTTAGCTGTTTTCGTCTTCTTCTTTTTTCTCTCTTTTTTTGTTGTTCTCCCTTTCCTCTCCTCTCTACTCTACTCAACACGTGAAAATCCTCATATGTTTGACTCTTCATTTTTTATGGTTTTCTTGGTACCTGCTGCTTAATAGTGTGAGATTAAGAGGCACTAATAGGAGAGCACTGGTATTGTGGAAACAAACCCATCTATGTTGCTGTGTATCAATATCACCTCTCTTTTTACAAACATAGATGTGAGTACCACTGTAATATACTGCTACCTTGCATTTATTTTATTTTCCTCTACAAAATCCTGATCTCAGGCCTGCAACTGCGTTGCGCTCGAGTTGTGTATTTGGTTTTATCATCCTCTTCAATCAAAGGAAGAAACAGGAAGAGAGTAGTATAATTTATCTATATGAACTTTTAGCTAACCGTAGCTCCACTCCTACAACTTCAATGTTTTTCTTTAGATTCTCAGTTTTAAATAATGATTCCATTAGATATTTTAGTTCCATTCGTTTAAAGTATGAGTTGTGGTTTCATTTTGTCCTCTATGTATAAAATATATGATGCAAATTATCCTTACTGTATTCCGAAAAATGATTAGTATAATCTTAATCTATATTAGTTTTAAAAAAAAACAATTTGTTATTATTGCGTCAAAACAAACGAAGGTGTGCACTGCACGTAAGTCAAACTACAAAATCAAGATACCTTGTGTCGTTCAATTCTATTACAAAATTCTTGATCCCAGGAAAGAAGATGCCAAGAACCCTAATCTTATTATAAAAAAAAATATAATACATAAATGTGTCATTTATATTAAGCACAGTCAACATCTATGTCTTTCAATTTTAAGTATAGATGCATCATAAGTTTAAATGTGTATTTGTGTACGCTTAACCAAACTCAAACAATTTTTGAACTATTTTCATCATTTTCATCATTTTTATGCATAACCACTAGCCACCAAAACGTTGATGTCGTCATTTTAAAACTGTAAACCAAAAACTTATCTTCATTTCAGAGCTCCACACATCTCCAAACTGAGTTCTTCAAGTGTTTGGTCAGTTCTACTGAATCAATGATCAGCTGCAACCTCATTCCTCTCCCTTCAAAAACCAACCTTAAACCTCCTCGAGACACCCAAGATCGTCCCTCTTCCCGTGCAAATCATCATGCACATAATCTCCGTTTCTCCCGTCACATTAAAGAACCATCAAAATACCCAAAACACAACAATTTGCCCAACTTATTATCAGTTCATACAAAGAACCCACATGCCATATACAAAGATATTCAAAGATTCGCTCACGAAAACAAGCTTAAAGAAGCACTTACAATTCTTGATTATTTAGACCATCGTGGTATTCCTGTAAACCCCACTACATTTGCTTCACTTATTGCTGCTGTTGTTCGTTTGAAATCTTTAACTTCTGCGAAAATTGTGCATACCCATGTAATAATTAATGGGCTTGAGAATAATGAGTTTTTACAGACTAAGGTTGTTAATATGTATGCGGCTTGTGGGTCGATTGAAGATGCGAAGAAGGTGTTTGATAAAATGCCTGTGAGAAGTGTGTACCCCTGGAATGCGTTGCTTAGGGGAAATGTGGTATTGGGTGGGAGTAAGTATGGTGAAGTATTGGGTACGTTTTCGGATATGAGGGGATTGGGGGTGGAACTGAATGTGTATAGCTTCTCTTGTTTGATTAAGAGTTTTGCGGGTGCTAGTGCGCTTTTTCAAGGTTTGAAAACACATGGGCTTTTGATCAAGAATGGTTTTTTAGGAAGTGAAATAGTTAGGACTAGTTTGATTGACATGTATTTCAAGTGTGGTAAGGTTAGGCTTGCGCATCGCGTGTTTGAGGAGGTTGAGGAAAGGGATGTAGTTATGTGGGGTGCGATGATATCTGGTTTTGCTCATAATAAGCTGCAAAGGGAGGCACTGGAGTATACTAGATTAATGATAAGGGAGAGACTAGAGGTGAATTCTGTTATCCTAACTACTATCCTTCCAGTTATTGGAGAAGCACGAGCAAGCAAACTTGGCAAGGAGGTACATGCTTATGTGATCAAGACCAAGGAATATTCGAAGCAGTTGTTCATTCAGTCTGGCTTAGTTGATATGTATTCTAAGTGTGGAGATATTGTAGCAGGAAGAAAGGTGTTTTATGGTTCAAAAGAGAGGAACGCAATATCTTGGACTGCTCTCATTTCGGGTTACATTTTAAATGGGAGACTTGAACAGGCTTTGAGATCAATTTTGTGGATGCAGCAAGAAGGCTTTAAACCTGATCTTGTAACTGTTGCCACCGTTCTCCCTGTTTGTGGGAAACTCAAAGAATTAAAGTATGGGAAAGAGATTCATGCTTACGCAGTGAAAAATGGTTTTTTGCCTAATGCATCTGTAAGTACGTGTCTAATGATGATGTACTCAAAGTGTGGTTTGCTTCAATATTCATCTAGAGTTTTTGATAGTATGGAGAAGAGGAATGTTATATCTTGGACAGCCATGATGGATTCATATATTGACTCTGGGTGTCTTGAGGAAGCACTTGGTGTTTTCCGGTCAATGCAGTTGTCAAAGCACCGGGCAGATTCTGTTGCGATGGGAAGGATTTTAAGTGTTTGTGGAAAATTAAGACTTTTGAAACTCGGGAGAGAAATACATGGTCAGATTCTGAAGAAAGATATAGCATCTGTACCTTTTGTTTCTGCAGAACTTGTGAAGATGTATGGGAGTTGTGGTTCAATTGATAAATCTAGGGTTTCCTTTGATTTAATACCTGTAAAAGGATCTATGACATGGACTGCTATTATTGAGGCTTATGGATTAAGTGGCCAATACGGAGCAGCAATAAACGAGTTTAAGCAGATGATATCGAAGGGCTTTAACCCAAACCATTTTACTTTTAAAGTTGTTTTTTCTATTTGTGAGAAAGCTGGATTTGCTGACGAGGGCTGTCAATTCTTCACCATGATGACACGAAAATATAAGATAAAGGCATCCGAAGACCATTATACTAGCATCATTAACCTTCTACATCATGTTGGTCGCATTGAGGAGGCTGAAAAGTTTGTGCTTCTCAAGCAATCCTCGGCATGAGGTAGAGGAGAAAGATTAGCCGTATTGCATGTTGGTCACACATGGTTATACATTCAGACCCAAATCAGTGGCTTGCAGTAGAGTTTACTATTGTCTTTTTGTCGACATAGGTGGGAAGAGTAATAATAATTCCTCAAGCTGAAAATATTACACAAAATGAACGTGAGGAAGGACCTTCGACATGACATGTTGTGTTTGGGAAAATATGGGACTTCTCATTGCAGTGTAACACTGTATATGTATCTGGTGGAAGAAGTTAAATACAGATTCACATGGTGCTGGTTTTACCCTTCCATAGCACCACTCTGGCAATTCTTGCTTTGTTAGCTTTGTTGTATAAAACTCTGTATAGGCTCCAATATAGTATGGTAGATCAACAGGTTCCCTCAATGGGGAAGCTGAATGAAGCTTTTACTTAGCAGAAAATGCTATAAAAGATTCTTGGAGTTACTATTCTATCTATTGGTTCCTGGAGTTTTTCGCCCCAAATTACCCTCTGGGTTTACTGTGCTGTTTTTGCTAATGCTTATATGCATGGGTGCTCAAGCCAAGGCGGCAGAAGGGGGTTCATTCGAACCTTCTTCCCCGAAAAATTACACTGCATATATAAGGTTTTTTTATTATTATTATTTTTACATATATATATTTGATTTTGAATCCCCTGGACTTTTTTGTGTGTTTACTTTTGTTAATTTTTGAAGCTCCTTGATGAAGATCTTGTCTCCGCCACTACTTATATGTAAATCTACTGTCAGCTTCTAAATATTAAGCAGACTTAATGAGTGATGGCTCAAGACTATATACCTTTTGTTGCCCTTTCAGTTGAGATCAAGAAAGCAAGCTTAGAAAAATCAGATAGCACGATGATCATAGGCTGTGTACAATGTCTGAAATCCAGAATGTCATTTATCAAATCCAACCACCAGTAACATCTCCATTTCACCATGTCTGCCATGGATACATTGCTAACAACAAACAAAACGAAATGTTGCTAGATCTTGACAAAAAGACCCTGGTTAGTCTGTTTCGTAACAATCCCTCTTCAATTCTTAAAGTTTTTCAAGAAGCCATAGCCACAAATACCAATAGCTATCAGCAAAGTCAGGTCAATACAGTGTATTCATCAAATTCTAAGGACATCAGCCCCACAATACAGAACAGCCAGCAAACTCGCCTTCCCCCAAATACAAGATATCTTCTAATCTTGATCCCCCACCAAAACCCCGCGCAAACCTGAAATCTGAATTCCTCTGAAGCCCCTTCTACTGATACCAATAACAAAAATATCCCCCAAAGAGGACTACACTATGCAGCTCCTTGTGAAAGAAGAATCACAACAATCAGAATCCTCCTCTACAACTGCCACGTTTGTGTTCCATAGCCTGATATTATCAGTAGTCTAGGTGTGATGTTATTTCATTTTTTATATTTTTGATATAATCATTTATGGTACAAAATCCAGAAAATAATTTTTAAAAAAGTGAAAGATGTTTTTACTGACCATTTCCCTCCAAAAACATCGATCTCTACGCCACATAGCTTGGGGATCTCAGCCATGGCTATTGGATTGTCACAAGAGAATCCATCAGCCGTTTCCCTTTCTCTATAAGTTTCATTGGCTGAGTCAAACCAGTTTGTACCTTTTCATTCTTTGCCACTTATTCTTTACCTGATCAGCTCCGCCACAAAAATAATATTGTCCGAATAAGTAGTCACGTAACATCTCCTGTCCAAACGTCAAATAGTCCTTTGATAATCCGTGTCGCAAGAGAAGAGTCACCACCTAACGAATTAAGGGTCAACAATCTCTGCTCTTCCAAGAGTAGTCATCATGGCGATCCTCTTAAAGGTGTCCCCAAAGTCTATGTTGAAATTCATGTGTGTTTCAAAACCATGGCTTCGGCCAATCTCTAGCCGTAAGTTAGTAAAGACTCATGTGAGATTAACAGCTAATGACAAAGAATGCAGCCACCATAGGGTTATTTTTCAAGACTCCACAGGCAATTTCAAGGTAAGTCGTCTCCCTCCCTTGTTCCACAAAGAACAAAGAGTTGAGCTATTTAACATGGATTCTCCCATGGAAAACCCCAATATTTATACTAAGATTGTGGGTTCTGTCAATGGATTGATTTGCATGTACAGTAAGATCGAGGAGCCAGTCCTATGGAACCCCACAATTCGGAAATGTAAGAAATTGCCTACATTTGAAGCTAATTTGAGGAGGGATTGCTCTTACTATCTCAATTACGGTTTTGGATATGATGAGTTACATGACGATTACAAAGTAGTAGTTGTTCAATGTATTTATGATGATGGTGGTTCGTATGATACTGTAGTCAACATTTACAGTTTGAGGACTGATTCTTGGAGAACAATTGATAAGTTTCAGGGAAACTTTTTGATAAATTCTCCAGGTAAATTTGTGGATGGGAAGCTTTATTGGGCATTATCTGCTGATGTTAATATGTTCAATATGTGCAACATCATTTCTCTTGATTTAGCAGACGAGACATGGAAAAGCTTGATGCTTCCGACTAGTTATGGAGAAGGCAGCTATCCTTTGACATTGGGAGTGGTCGGAAAAGATCTTTCTTTACTTTGTCCTAATTGTCACGAAGGAACTAATTCTGATGTGTGGATTATGAAGCATTCTGGAGTTGAAGTGTTATGGACAAAGATTTTCACCATTGATCATCCAAAAGATCTTGGCGAGTTTATATTATTTTCGTCCATTTTCTCTATACCTTCTTGCCAGTCAAATAAGGGTGAATTTTTACTTTTGCTTCCTCCAGTTATCATGATATATGATGGTTCAACCAGACAACTAGAGGCTGTTGATCACTTTGAGGAATGCTTTCCTGCAGAAATCTACGTCGAAAGCCTTGTTGATCCCCTATTGATAGCACACAATCATTTAGCTGATAACTCATAAGAATTCTGCTTTATTTTAGTTGCTATCACCAGATAAGTTAGATTGGAGCCAGATTTTACGAGAACATATTGTCAATATTCGGGGTGGAATGATTTCTCGATTTACTTACTGAAGCCTAGAAATAAAAACGCTGTTGTACTTTTTTTTTCTCAAATGTAGAACAAGATGTTGAATATGTATGAATCCGTACATTATATTTGGTTTTGTATATTGTTCTTCAGTGTAAGCTAGAAGATATGGATAAAATTTAATTGTCTTGAATAGGGTATTACAGAGTTAATATCTCAAAATGTTACTAAACTTTGAGAATTTATCTAGTAAAGTCATTGAACTTTATTTTGTATCAATAAAATCACTGAACTTAGGCTTTTCTATCCATAAAATCACTATTATTAAAAGATACGTAACAAGACATTTTTTTTTTAATAGTTGGCAGTCTTATTACTAATTTTTAGAGTTCAGTTTTTCAAACTTCAATTGTTTTGAAGTTAAATAAAGGTTATCAGTTATCACTCTGTTTTTTTTTTAATAAATTGTGTACTGGTGTTATAATTATTGAGTTTAGGGCATATAATAAATAGACTCAACTCTCAACCATTGACCAGGTGGTTTCTTTCTTTAATGGTGATGTATTTTACTGTTATTTGGTATTTTACTGGTCTGTTTTTCTGGTTCAAAGATTACACCTGGACGATGCATATACATGTTATAGCATCATACGAAGAAAACCACTGCACGTTATAGTGTATTTATTTAGATAATCCATTGTTGTTTTCCTCAGCTTATTCTATTTACTAATCTAGTTAAAAAATAAATAAATAGAATTTTGAATTAGTTCAGAAATTCTACCTCAATACCTGAATCTTTTTAATTCGAACAATTAATTTATTTTGTGGAGTTCATAATTTTATTACATATAAAAATAATTTATTTTTTCTAGTTATAGTTTTTGTACTATTATATTTAGTTGAATGATTTTATTGATAGAAAAGCCTAAGTTGAGTAATTTTATTGATATAAAACAAAGTTAAATGACTTTACTAGATAAATTCTCAAAATTGAATAACCTTTTAAGATATTAACTTGGTATTACATAGGTTAAGTTGGTTTGAGTTTTTCAAATACCAAAATAAAGCATTTGTATTGGTTTTTTTAATTTATAAATCATATTAATTCAATAATAGTCGGGGGTTTTAACCTTGGATTTTCTCAGTAAAATCTCCATAGATACATATAATTAACTTGTGTTTTAAATATACAACTATTTATGGTGTTTCTTAAGAAAATAACACAACATTTGAGATGAATGATGACACTAAAATAATCAACAAAGAAAAATTATGAAATCGCTAAAATATGGTAAATTAATAAGTCATACTAAAATGAGTAAAGCTAATGCAAAACTAAAGAATAATTTCCAACATTATTGTCATTCCTATAGCTGAATTGAATTTCTTTTATAACATTAGTATTTTACAAACAGAGGCGGACCCATGTGTACTCGTTAACTTTGAAAAAAAAATCATATATATCTTGAGAAACTAGCAGAAACTAAATATAAAAAACAGTCCCCCCATAAAAAGCACATGATATCACTTGGTACTGCTGCTATTGGCTAGTGCGTCCGCCCTAGCGACCTTGGTTTGAGCCCAGTCAAAATCACATTTTATTATTTTTATTATAAGTTTTGAATTTAAAAGGGCTTATAATATTGGTGCACCCGAGTAATAGGTAAGTGTAATGCATACAATCGATTAGGATCATCTTTGGTACAATCATTGTTTTTCCCTTCAAATTACTCCTAAAAATGGGTGTACACTGAATTTGTTATTGTCGTAAATTATTCACAAAATCTAAAAATAACTCATATTTATATTAATATATATATTTAGAAATCAAACACAATTTTTATTTTTAAATATTAATTTTCACGTTAAAAATAAAATTTATTTTTAAAAATTTCAATTTTCATGACCAAATAGGCCTAAAGTAGAAGTTCAAACCCACGAATTCCAAAACAGTAGAGAAAGTCTGCTCAGTTTAGTGGGAAAAACGAGTGTAGAGTTTAGAGAGGAAACGCCGCCATAGCATTAGGCCATTAGCAGCAGCTAAATAGGAAGCTGCTTTTCTACAATTATCTGCCAATCG